TCGAAATCTTAGATTTTGCAGGCCATCTTGAATTGCGAGAGACTTTTTTCTGCCAATCTACGACTTTTTAGAGAATTTTGAACACTTTTTCGCCTCATCAATTCTTTAGCAGTAGTAAATCTCTCATTTTTTGAACGTGAAGACATTTTTCATTCAAGTAGAAGTTCAGAAAAGTACGTACAAAACCTTACAAACACATAACAAGAGCGGTCGCCATCTTTGTTTTGCGTGATGAAATTTCGTGACAACTTCCGGTTTGGGCGTGCGCAGAAAGCGTGCGCAGTAGCAATGCCCTCGAACGTCCTTAACTGCGAGACATAATCACTGGAAAAAAATCGCTTTAAAGGTTGTAGATTTGATGTAAATATGGTGTAACTGTCCAAAATTCTGTAAATTTAATGGAAATCATTAACATCAAGTTTACATCATTTTGGACACTTACATCATATTTACATCAAATTTACAACCTTTAAAACGCGCGACTTTTTACAGTGAAAAAAAGATAGGCAACAAATGAATTCGCATATACAATTAGAATTTAGCTCTATATCGTGATTTATCGTTTGGACTATTTATTGTCTGGACTATATAGACGCTTTTATGTCAGGTATTTGTCTATTATTTATCTGTGTTAATACACTTATMATGCGCGAAGGTTTATCAACGAAAAAAAAAAAAAAAACAACGCATAGAAATAAACAAGTAATTAGTGCCAGGTAATCAGCCAAAGAAAATAATTGCCTCACAGATACAAAATCTGAAGATTAAATACATAAGCAGGGACAAGCAATTGTTATTGGATAATTCAAGCGTACATTGTGAGCTCTAAAATATACATGCCTTCGCGACGTTTCTTGGCGTCCTCTTTGAATGAATTGTTGATAACTTTATAGTAATGGAGTCGACAGTAGAAATGGCCACGCTCGTCATCTGCTTCCCAAGGAGGAATATACGAGTAGGCACCTAATCTAAGGGTGTTCAGACAAACCTCACATTTGAAGCACTCCCTGTGGAAAAAGTGTCCCTCGGCAGACATACGCTCCATAAGGTACACAAACCGGTTACAAAAGTAACAATGGTCACTCCCTGTGTCCCTTGTAACTGGAAGATTTGGAACCTGGAACAGTATCAAAGAAAATGATTGAATACTGAACGAGATGGAAATGGTTTAGGTTATGCATGGAGCATGTTACGAAAAAAAACACTAATACAAAATAAATCTGCTATTTTACCACACTAGCAATGCAAACAGCGGGATTCCTGTGTTAAAAATTAGGAGGGGATAGGTGTGTTCTAATTACTCGATGCAATTTGTTATCGTTATCGAGATGGAAATGCTTAAGGTTGTGCATGGAGCATATTACGGGGAACAAACACTAATACAAAATAAATCTGCCATTTTACCACAATAGCAAGGTAACCAGCGAGACTTCTGTGCTCAAAAAGGAGGGGAGGGGTGTGCTCTAACTACTCGATGCAATTTGTTATCGTTCAAGGTTATCAATAGGAACACCATTAGGGGTGGCCTCGAAAGAAGCCTAATTTTGCGAGTAAACACGTCGAAATAATCCATCCTCTATCTGTCTGGAAATTCTCAACATTCATACACCTATTTCAAAAAAGGTTGTCGGATAAAAATGCCAATGTCGATTGTCGAACGCCGAATGCACGACCAAAACTGAGTAGCCTCGAGTTTTCCTTATCTTGTCTGTTGTAAACATTGGCTCCAATTTGTATCATTTCTATTCAAGGTTTATTCAATAAGTGAAGAGTTCTTTTGTCAAACCATAGAAACTCTTGGTCGAGCAATTTCCCTTCGACAATCGCCATCCACCGTTTTTTGAAATGGGAGTATAAACTACCAAATATGGTATCAAAAATATGCTAATCATCTTTCAAAGTCCGGAGTACAGTGGTTACCAGACTTTAAATCCCCTAATATGAGTTTGATATATATTTCTAAAATATTTAGGATACT